ATTGTTATCAGCGGTTTGGCCTTCATTGCTGATTTCTAGGTGTGTCAAACTGGACTTTAAGCTTTCACCACCTGTGTATGAACGTCACTCATGTTGAAAAATCTTAAAGCTGGAGAAAATCGTACCATTCAGAGGCTGGCAACTATGATCCAGATGTTACTTTTTAGTCGAGGCGCGACTGTCCAAGCGTGAATAGGCGGACCGGAAATCATGAGTTCAAACTGCTTACAACAGTTTATCAACTCACCACAACCGTGCATAATAATTTCATATTACAAGAGAAGCAAAAAGCATGACATATAGACAGACGGTACTAAGCCTGACGGGTCAATTGATTGGTCCCTTCCTAAGGGAAAGGAGGGGGTGTTTCCTCACATATAGAATTGTCTATACTGTGTGGTGTGTGCGTAAATGAATTTATATGTGTTTATGTGTGTATATGTCTATGAAAGTTATAAGTATATATATAATTGTGTGCGTATGTGATTATTGGGAGGACCATCGGCGAAATATCGACTACCCCAATATTGATAGTCCCGTGGGGAAAAAAAATTTAACAAACAACTAGTAGTATAAATCAAGAAATGATGGTTTTCACGAACTCTTTGATGCTGTGCCGTGTTTTATGAAAGAGTTCCAAAGATAAAAAATAAATAAATTACATTCTCGCTGGTTACAATCAGAACGTTGAAAAATATTACGGACAAAATAAAATTCGTAAGCGTTCTTTGTTTGCGTACAAACTACGAAGAGTTTCCGCATGATTAGCCCCTTGGATAACAAGCGTGAGGCGAAATGGAAAGAGACGTAGGAAATTTTCTTTTGGTACACATCGAGCTAATAGGGCTCCCTTCAAAGGGATTCCATCACAAATACGAACTGCGCTTTATACATTTACCAAATATAAGGGAAAAATTCTTTTCTCGTTATATTCTCCACCATTCGTGGCTGACAAAAAGGGCATAGGACAATACAGGGCCAAAGGTCAAACCCGGCCCGTAAACTTAACGAATTCTCGAAACGTCTCCGGCAGAATTTCCTAAGGCTAATTTGCCGAGCGTGTATCGTTTTGAAAGGGATCCTCGAGTCGGTAGCATGTTGGAGGAGCAGTCGACAGGGCGGCGGTTAACCGCGGATGGAGAAAAACCAGAGCAAAGGGTGACCAAAGCAGGACGGTCTCGCGGTTTTACATTTTATTCCTTCTCCCAAGAGTCGATCCTTTGTCACCGGCTGCGAGCATAAATCATACCAACAGTTGGACGATTATTCAACCGGCGATTAGGGAATTTTCAAATTATCTGAGCTAGAGCGGTCATCCTTGTTTTTTTTTGTTTTATTCAATTTGGTGTCGTTTACACACAGACCTCTCACTCAGAAGAAATGTGGCTTTACATAAATTATAACTATTCTAAAACATAGCAAATGAAAAAAAATGTATATATGAGCAATACTAGTATCAAAGATAATTAGGTTCAACATTCTCATAATAGCCAACGATAATGGCAGATTTCCATTCAAAGATAGAAAAAGGATTAAAGAAGAAACCTTTAAAACATCTTTTAACCTTGTTATTTATTTAATAGTTAAATATTGAAACCTTTTCTAGTATTAAAAAGTGGTTTGGGGACTCTATAGATACATAACAAAGGGTTCACTAAGCAGAAAAAAATAAGATCCGTGTTTGGAAAATGAAATTCAATAGTAGACCGTACTCTCTAACAAATTTAAAAAAACTTTGTTGAAGCGGAAAATGTACGCAAAAAGAGTTTAACTTCTTATGTTGATACTTTACCGAGTATATATATTTTCTCCATTTTATTAAATCTTTCTGCTTCAAAATGGCACTCTTTTGATGCTCGAGTTCAATCGGTTACATTTAATAGTCTCCCCCTATAATTCATTCGGATCGAATTCTTTCTTCTATGCCAGTATATCCAACATGGCGCAGCGGAGCATTTATTTATTAAGCGTATTAGCATAAAATTTAGCCGGGAGTGGTAGGGTGGAATTACTTTGGCGCAGTGAAAATTGCCAAGGTAATTCTCTCGTTCCGTATTTACCCACTCTCGAGGTAAAGAGGTAAGAGAAAGAGAATAAAGACGGGGGTGGGGTAAAGAGATATGTGTTCCAGGGTAAATATAGTTACAATGTAAACGAGTAAGAAGAAAGGGCTTGGTTATTGTTCTCCGCGAAAGAAAAAATATTGTTGAACCCCTTCTATCTGCAACCTTTTCTAAGTTGGCAAAATAGGCTTATCTGGAATTTTTGCTGACACGCGCTTAAGCGTGGATGCGCTGTGCATTTATTTTTTTTTCTCTTTTCATTCTCCAGAACTGTCCCCGTGATTGTTACTTCTCGATTGTTAACAACAAAACAAGTTCGCATTTAACTCCCGCCTATGTGTCGTTGAAAAAGGTTAAAATTTTCATCTCAAATAGTTGGACGTTGTGTCGATACTAAGCATACAATTTATGTCATTGTCAAACCAATTACCAAATAGAAGTTTAACTAGTTACTCTACAAAAAGTGTAAAAGTAAAATGTCTCTTTCTGTCCTTCCAGCATATAGCAAAAATAAATAAACGTGGTACGGTTAAAAAAGGGCTGAGAAAGACAAAGATATGATGTAGATGAATAGGGAGGGAGAGGGAGAGAGCGAGCGAGAGAGAGAGAGTGTGTGTGAGAGAGAGAGAGTGTGTGAGAGAGAGAGAAAGAAAAAGAGAGAGAGAAAGGGGGAGAGAAAGAGTGTGAGAGAGAGAGAAAAAGAGAGAGAGAGAAAGGGGAGAAAGAGAAAGGGGGAGAGGGAGAGAGAGGGAGCGAGGAAGGGAGAGGAAGAAAGAGAGAGAGAGAAAGACAAACGAAGAAGTGGGTTATTGCTTTTTCCGGTCAAATATGAAGTTTTTTTAATTTAAAATTACCCTATTAAAAATTGAAATTAACCATTTTTATTTACAAATTAATCTTTTTAACCTTCAAATTAACCTTTTTTAATTAAAGATGGTAATCTATATTCATATGATTTTTATGTACAATTATTTTATACACTGAGAGGCAAAAAGGTGGCCACCATTAATATTTTAAATTTCCTCTATAATCCTTCACTGATTATTATACAACAATATTTGGTCTGTTTTAAAGGTGGTCAATTGGATTTTGTAAATAATTCTTTGAATAGTCAACCTCTTCTGTTAGTTTTCTGTAAAGTTTCTTTCTAACGTTCCGGTGGTTTGATTTCAAAGTGTTTGTTTTGGTCATACTCAACACGACACACAAAAATGGCACAATTATGCAGAATACAAACACTTTGAATTCTGAAGATGATCTCAATAAAGATCGAAACGTTGGCACGATAAAGAAAATGTTTTTCTGAAACCTACGTCACACCAGACCGCATCTCACGATTTCCGAATAATCATCGACTAACACACGCAATATGAAATCTTTTTTGTGTTCGAAATTACACTATTCATAACTACCTACACATCCGGTTTGCACATGAACGAATAAAAACCCGCTATGATCGATAAAACCCCACGTCATTTTCACTCAGGAGTTACATTTTTAATAATAGCAGCCATCTGATTGTCTACCTCCTCCGACTTTTAGCTTTTCTTCTGAACTTCCAGTCTTTTGTATTAACAATCTTATCGTTTGTATTATCGTTTGCTTATTTTCGACATCGTTTATAAATGTGCATATACATCTAAAAACATTAAGATTTTAATGTAGGACAGTTTTTTCTAGGAGTCCGAAGATTTTATGTCATTGAAACGTTAAGAGAAAATTACTTTACTCTGTGAATTTATCAGAAGAGAAACGGCAGAAACGTTCTTTTCATAGGAAAGTATAAGGTCTGACAGTAAAGAAGAAGATGAAATTGGAAAAATATCGCCCAGTGAAGGACATTCTGGGCCGAAGGGAAAGGGAGTTGTTGGCGATACATTATTGGCGCCCTGGCCGTTGTGATATTGATGGTTTCGGATATTTCTCGAGGTTTATATTCGAGACCGGGGGGCTCGCGTGATCCGGGCTTGTTGTCCAACACCTGCACCCCCCTCAGACAGGAAAAAAATGTTCTCCTCACCTGTCCGGGGTAACATGTAGCACACAAAATCAGTTGACCACGTTTATTGTCGCTCATTCCACCGCCTAGCAGCAAGTAGTAAAATATCTCGTGTTTACAAGGCAAGAAAAATGTACGCTACAATTACCTGGATGACTTATGAACGGGTGAAGCGTTAAAGCGAAACAGTGGCCTAACAACCGTGCATTACAGTGTAACTATTCGTGAGGCGATTCACCGTGAAATTGACGGTGATGTACTGGGCAAACTAAACTTAACATGTGTGAACAGATCGTAAATTAACACTTTTATCATTTGTTAATTCCTGACCACGTCGACCGAATTAAAAATTTCCACTTCGTCTTCTTTTCGTACCGATTCGTTTTACCCAACTGCGACTATTGAAGCATCTCAACCAACAATTAAAATAAACGTCAAAATGAAAATGTCCACTTTTCATCAATCGACGGTCATATTTTTTTCCGAATCAACCGAGTTGACGATCGACTAACTCCTAGGCCCATCAAAGAACTTTTTAATCCTGAATGTAAAAGGACACCTTCGAGCACTTTAAACAATGCCCCGTTCAGCTCATTAAGTATTGGAGGGTGAAAGTTTGTTTTTAAAAGCGAGTTTTCACCCCGGTAGATTGTAACAATCCAGAGTTGGGTTGGGCGAAAAAGGGATTTCACGATTGGTACCCTTTTAAAAACAAATGTTCTGCTTTCCCACATCCCCGTACTTAATGTTTTAAATAACAATACATTTCTGCCAGAAGTCCGGCCAATTACGTCCAAATAGCTAGTTTCACTCTTTTCTCTCCCGAAACAGCCATAATTTTGGGAGTAAATTTAACGTATAAAACTCCTTGTAACTATGGTATTGGTTTTTCAATATATAATAATAATAGAATAATTATTACCTCTAATATATTTATATAAAGACACGTGTGTCAATCGGAATAATACTGCCACCAATTCATGAACGTATTTTACTCGACACGATCATCAATCTGCATGTTGGTGGCCTGATTTTTTGTAGTAGCCGAAGAATGCATGACAATGGATTTCGACTGGATTAAGTGTTCGTCGCTGTCGGCTCCCTTCGGCTCTATGGAGCAAAGAAGATTAGCGAGAATAGACGGATCAAGATAAGATCAGCTATGATGAAATAGCTGCCAAGTGTTGTCATTTGTAGATAATCCTACAGGACAGCACAAGTGTTACAAGATAGATAGTTGAAATTTAAGCTTACTTTTATTTTTTCGTAGGTTGTAATTGATATTTCATTATTTAACAAAAAATACGTTATAATAAAATTTATAGAAATCAGAAATAACTTTCTAGGATCGCACCGCCGCAACTAACTTTTTTTGAAGAACAACTTTTATATTGTAAGCCAAGAAAAAGAAGAAAATCGACTACTGTGGGTTAGTAAATACGACCGTCTATCGCATGTTGTGTTTATGTTAATTTAATTGAATGAATATAATTTATTTGTGTGTGTGTGTGTGTGCGCGTGCGTGCGTTCGTGCGTGCGTGCGTGCGTGCGCGCGCGCGTGTGTGTGTGTGTGTGTGTGTGTGAGGTTCACTGATGTTAGTGAATGATTATTTGAAAACCATGAAATGCGGTCTCGTGTGGCGTAGGTTTTATCAAAAAAATTATTTTATTCGTGACAACGTTTCGATCTTTATTGAGATCATCTTCAGGGCTCAAAGTGTTTACACAGAAAACAAACACTTTGAGGCCGGAAGATGATTTCAATAAAGATCGAAACGTTGTACGATAAATAAAATGTTTTTCTAAAACCTACATCACACCAGACCACATCACACAATCTCCAAATAGAAATCTAAAATCGTTAAATGAAAAGGTTGTTTCGCCCCGCCCGAGAAATATCGAGTATCTTGGGTGAGTAGTGACGTCTGGAGAGGATATTATTCTCTTGTATATTATATATATTCTTTTGTAGACAACCTGAGGTACAAATGAGAGGCTAGGATTTTAAGATATGGACATAGTTTTCATATGAAAGCAGAGAGTCAGTGATGGATCGAGACGTTCAAATGACTGCAGACTGAAAAACCCGAGTGAAAGATCAGAAAGAAACGTGAAAACACCCAGAAAGCTAGCGATGACCTCAATTGTTTCTCGGCCCCTAAACTTCCCACATTATTATTATTTCGTAAACTACTATCAAAAAATCGATTTAAGGCTAACAATAAAAAGAGTTGAGAAATCATGGAAATGAGATCAAATTAGTAAGTCGTTCAGTTCAACTGAACAGTGTTGAAAGTATAGCACACCTTGGGAGAAATGGAAAAGCGTGTTGTTTTTATTATTTTTACACCGTATGACCGACATAAGTTTCGCGTGTTGGCCCTGCCGCTTTAATTTTCACAACACGGCGGTTCCATTCTATAATAATCGTTTATTCTGAAAGCGAAACCTGTTCCTTTTACATTATTGTAAGTACCATTAAAATTAAGCGTTTAAGAGGATTTCTCAGAAATGTATGTTCATTGTTTTAATAAAATACTAATTTTATATCAATTTTTATTATTTCTGTGGAAATTAAAATTAATATTGTCTTGATTGCCATGAAGAATGCCCTACAGTGTGTGGTCTTAGTTGATTTTTGATATGGCATGTTATCAAATAAGTGCTTAGTGGTTGCACAATTTGTACATGAAAGCAAGTTCACGATCCATTATAAGACCGTTGGTGGACTTTACGATGACTATCCTAGCTAATACAACTTCTTTTCTTTTCTTCCTGATCGATGACTTCCATTATAGATTTCACAATGCTTATTATTTCCCACAGTAAGCGACATTTGTCCCCATTGCGAAAAAAACTTTAAAACAGCGATTATGTCTGATCTGATTGTTCTTCCGAACAATCTGTTCATTGGTGACACTTTAGCGGCTATATCTGTTAGTTGCCAGATAGTTCAATATGGTTTGAAACTCAGAAGAATATGACGCTTATATGGGATAAAAGGTACTCTTATAATTTCAAAATCCCGGACAGGGTAGGAGCTGCTGCCATTAGTATAAATTCACATCAGCTTTTTTGTACCATCTCAAATAATTATAGTGCCGAGTTGCGCTTAATTAATAAATTAGTCTTTAGGGCAAGAAGCGATCTAATGGTGCATGTTCCCATCTCCTTTTTCATTCATTAAACTACCCGTTTAGTAGAAATCCAGTAGAAATCCTAACGTGTAAAATATCATATCTCCTAGCCATGATTATTCTCAGAACTTATTCAGAAATCGTGAGATGCGGTCTGATGTGATGTAGGTTTCAGAAAAACATTTTTTTTTATCGTGCCAACGTTTTGATCTTTATTGAGATCGTCTTCAGGGCTCAAAATGTTTGTTTTCTGTGTAATTGTGCCGTATATAAACATAAAACAGCAATATCTCACTGGCACTCTCAACATGACGCAGAAGAATGACATATCTACACGGAAAAAAGCACACTTTGAGTGGGTACAAATACGTTGATTGAATCTAAAGTTTGTAGCATTGTATAAGTTCATTTTTTAACATCCTACATGTATTTGTGTAATTTAAACAATGTTTATAAATCCCAGGCCTTGAAGATGATCTCAATAAATATCGAAACGTTGGCACGATAAAGAAAATGTTTTTCTAAAACCTAGTCACACCAGACCGCATCTCACGATTTTCAAATAATCACTAATTTTTATTGTTATGAAAATTCGTATTCAAGAGCTTTACAATGTATTTAAAACGAATCCAATTATTAAAATAATAATAAAAAGTTGATTACTTTAATGATACATCATCTCATTATCTCAAAGTGTTTGTTTTGGTCATTCACAACACGACACCCAAGAATAGCACAATTACACAGAAAACAAACAATTTGAGCCCTGAAGATGATCTCATTAAAGATCGAAACGTTGGCACGATAAAGAAAATGTTTTTCTGAAATCTACATCACACCAGACCGCATTTCACGATTTCTGAATAATTATCGATTAACGGCCACTAATCACTACACATTATTCTCATATTTTAAACAACTAGGAATCCACCACTTTTTAACGATAATTAAACAAATAATTACGAGAGCTGATATTTTTGTGATTTATATGTTGGAATTTCATGAGTACGTAGCTCGTTAGGAGACGTTAGGAATTTAAAAATGTATCAATAAGCGGGTTATGAATGCTTATTCAGCCAAAAGAGGCCACATTGAAAGCTAGAAGTCCCAAGCGGCCGGCACATTAGGAGGACGGGGTGAGTTTGCTGTAAGATAAGAAAATAGTTTACCCCCTCACCCCAGTCGTGAAGAGAGAAAGGGATGGGGTCGGTTGTCTGCGCGGAATCAGGAATGAGAGGACGCGACGAAACATCTACAAGGACCGCTTTTCCTTTATTCATGAGCAGATAAACGCAGCCTCTTCATAAGGACCGCCGCCCCGACACAGAGCTAGACATTTATTACGACACCAAGACCCATAAGGCAACTTGTCATCTGGCTTTAAAAATGGCGAGACGAATGGAAATTCACACGTGAGGTTTATTTAGGCCAGATCAATCGTCAGTGACCGCAAAGGGGTCCGTAAACGCTCGTTACTTTCCCATAGATCATTTACATTAAGTAGGTCGGTCGGTCCCACCCTGGCACATGTCGATAATTATTTTATTATTTATTGCCTGACATTTTCTGCCAAAGTTCTTGAACAATTAAAAACAGTTCAAATCGAAATTCTGGATTTTAATACAAGAAGTTTCAATAGCATAAAATTGGGTTAAGGAGTCAACTTAGAGTTAGTTACAGAATTGATGTTCATTTTTTTCGCGGAAGTAATCAGTGTGCATGTGTTTCACTTCATTTCAAACTAGCTGATTTACAGATTTTTTTCTATTTTTTACAGAGTAGAGATGAATAGGAATTATGTCACTGCGTCACTGTCACATGTGAATGTAAATACCAAGTAAACAGGCCAACCAGACAATTGTCGTTATAAATTGAACTATCCGACATTCGTATAAAAATACTGATCATAAAATCACACATAGAAAACGACCCTGTACAGACCCTCCAGATCCCAAATAACATAAAACAGCAACTATTTCAGAAGTTGGGTTCATCGGAAAACTTCGGGATTCCAAGGTGGCCAGTCTGGAAGATTGAGACGTCAAGTATGTACGTCACGCGGAAATAAGCCATCTGGACAAAATTTGATCTCATTATTCAATTTAAACCAGGCTCGAATCTGCATTGTCTAACGTTCCCCATCTTTAAAACGTTTTATGAAAATCTTTTCATTATATATATTAGTTGTGATGGGGATATCGGTCGATGGTTGTTGGCATAAAGAAAACGATTTCGTATCCCGGCCGACGTTTCGATTTAGTTTTAAATCTTTTTCAAGGCTGTCTGTACATATATAGTAAATTATTACATTTTTACAGAATTACATATATTTTTTACATACATGTAGGCAAAAATTAACTCACCTCTTGATATCTAAGTGCCCTCTTTGTTCATGTTTTATTTATTGTTACTAATTGGCATATGTTCCATGATATTTTTCTACTCAATCGGTAGCTACCAGCCTACCACGAGGGGAACTCCGGCACGCCGGCGAGGTATTCCCTCCTAATCTCAACATTTCAGTACCGCGGATTCTGAGAGGTCTCGTCCTAGTTCTTAGGAACGAGTACACATCTTGGTGAGAGTTACGGAAAACTGAAGGAAATAGAAGATGGAAAGGCTTAGACGAAAGTCTAGCAACAAACCTAAGAATTGCCTCTCCCTGAAAAGTTCCGGAGGAAGGACACAGGCATCATTGCAGAGACTATATAAAGGGCTTGTTCTAAACGCCCCTGTTGCAATCCTGATACCTTGATAATAAATTCTACCTAGAGGTTTTAAAGTTAATATTCGCGAGAATTACTGAAGAGTAACCTGCTGCTCCATATAGAAACTTTGCTCCTAAGTACATGCTGAATATTCTTAAAAGAATGTCTCTATTCACCCCCCAATTGTAATTAGCAAGGAATCTCATCAGGCCTAGTATTTTCCTTCCTGAATTAGACAATTGGGCTATTTGAGGTTTCCATCGAAGGGCTTTGTCGAAAGAAACTCCCAAATATTTGACAACGTCGACTTCCTTTATTTCAACGCCAGAAAGGAAAAGCCGAGGTGTTTCATGATGTTTTCTCAGTCTACAAAAGTGTACAAATACCGTTTTGGACAAAGAGAATTTGAAACCTACATCATCTGCTTTTCGTGACAATGTGTGGCGTTTTGTAAAGTCCTTCCTACGTTTTGGAGATTTTTCCCAGACAAGTAAAAGCAAAGATCATCGACATATAAAGGCCTGACTATACGATCATCTATATTATCAGCAAGACCGTTTACCGCAATGGCAAATAAAGTGACACTCAGAACCGAACCCTGAGGAATCCCGTTTTCTTGAATGAACGTACTAGATAAGGCCTAATCTCACCCGGAATCTCCTCATTTCAAGGAAGCTTTTTAAAAATTTAGCTGTGTTCCCTCTTAAACCCCAATCATAGAGTTTCTTAAGAATACCAAATCTCCAGGTCGTATCGTATGCTTTTTCCAGGTCGAAGAAGACAGCTAAAGCATGCTCTCTCTCCAAGAAAATGTTCTGAATAGCACTTTCAAGGAGTGCTACATGATCTTCAGAGCAAAAGTGCTTTCTAAACCCAGCCTGGTATGGACTGTACAGACCTTTTCTCTCAATAAACCAATTTAACCTTTTGTTAATTATGGCTTCCAATGTCTTGCTGAGACATGATGTTAGAGAAATAGGTCTGTAATTTATTGTAGTTTTTTTCTTTTTTTCATAATTTTTCTTTTATCAAATTTTATTTTATGTCCCATATTAACATCACACTGATAATTCAACTATCATCAATATATATATGAGACACAGAAAAGGAAAAGGGCTAAATTTATCATAGAATGACTTCATGATGTTTCTGCACGACTTCACGTATCGCAAAGGGTTATTTACTAATGGAAATGGTAGAGTAGCAACAGAGGAAATTAAAATTCATTCGACCCAAAAGGACACAGGTCCTGAAGATTGTAACTCGGGTGGAAACAAATGTTTCGTCCTATTTAGCATGTGTCCGAGTATCCGACTAGCGGACCAGATGCTGCGACTTTTCGTTTTCCCTTTTAAAGGTCTAAATAAAATTGACTTATTTTCTAAAGCCTATTTTTTTTTTAAAGGTGGGGGCTTTTAATGGGGCAGAGGTTTCCCTGTTTTTGTACTTCTGTCAAAGTAGGTGTGACAGGATAAATAACGGCCTAAGGAAAAAGCCGATTGATATAATAGATTATTGCCCGATTTATTTCCTCTGAATCGTAATTTAGCCTGCACGAAACAACCGGGGAATTAAGCGTTGCAAATCAAAAGCCTCTCTCTTTAAATCAATTTTGCCACGAGCAGTACCATTTTTTCACGATCA